TGACAGTAGCCAACCCTCATATAGCACAGTCATTTAACCTTACACAGAAGGTACTAATTGTATGCCTTTTCTATAGAAGAGGCAGTTGAGGCACAGAAAGGTTAAGTAAGTTGCCCAAAGTCACATAGTAAGTGGTAGGGCTCAGAGTCAAACCAGACAGTTTGTTTCACAGACTATGCTCTTGACCATCCTATTGGAATGGAAGCCCCTTAAAGCCCACATTCCCACCCGCTCCCCATTCACCCATGGACCCCAACGTAGTGGTAAGAGTTCCAGTAACTTCCCGTGAAGAACAGTGGGCAATAGGAAGGCTGCCTCAGACCTGCCAGGTGCCTGGCTGTGTCACAGTTCAGGTTAGGGGCCGCCTGGGCTTCAAAGGTGTCAGCTCTGAGTATGTCCCCTACGGGTTTCATGGCCAAGGCTGCTTTGGGGTGTAAACCACCACTTTCTCCTCACTGTCTTCCGCTGTCTACTGCTCTGGGCACATTATGCCTTGCTGCGAGGGAGGACAGCCAGCAGGCTCTCTTTCCCAGGGTGTTAGCCCGTGTGCGTGTTCTCCCCTTAATGACACGGTCAAAGCTGTACCAGCTGGAGTTTCACTAACCATAAAGCCCTCAAGTCAGGCTTTCCCATGTCACCTTCAGTCTAGAAAGTGGACATCAGAAACTGAGGGTGACAGAGCAGGCCGGTTTTAGGGGTTGGAGTGTCTGTCCTGGGGTCGCTGGAGAGGTGGGAGTCCCTGTTCTCACTGCCTTAGGTGGGGGTGGGGGAAACATCTTTAGCTTCACAAACAAATGGGAATTTACAGTGGAGATCATTACCCTTCCACTCACAGTTTTTAGGTGGGAGGGAGAGAGGGTGGGGAAGAGAGAGAGAGAAGGGGAGAGAGAGAGAGAGAGAGAGAGAGAGAGAGAGAGAGAAGATGGACCTCCTGGGGCCACATGAATTAAGGCCTGGGTAACAGGAATTTCTGTGCCCACCCCCGCTCCCCCAAGGTGTAGCATAGCTGAGCTTTTCCTCTCAGGGCCAGGCCTAGGGGGTTGATTTGCATTAAGCACAGAGTTAGTGCTGAGAGTGTTTTGACTCTCATCTGGAAGTGGGTCCTGGCAATCTGTTGCCATGAAGGCAAAGCCCAGCCCCAAATACCACACGGAGACAGGAGACACCGAGGTTCTCAATTAGGCATTTACTGCTGGGGCTGGCCGCCACTTCTGCACACCCCACCCCCGAGAAATGGAAGCTGAGTGATTTATGCCAGGTCAGAAGGAAAAAGGCTGCTTTTAGTTATTTCACTCCATGTGCCTCCTGCAGTGCAGCCAGCTGGTGAAACACCGTGTGGGCTGCTCAGGTTTTCATATTGATTTGCAAAGACTCCCACTGATGCAAATGTCATAGCTGGTCTGGTATTCCGAGTTTAAATTCCTTGATTCGGGTCAACTATTTTGTGCAAACCGAACCTGATGACAGTCTGCAGAGAATGAGTAAGTTTGAACTCTGATTCTAAAATGACATGACAGGTCTTCAAACAAAGAATCAGAACTTGCTGTTTGCAGTGGTCACCTGTGAGGTCGACACTGGTATTTTTCTTGCTCGGAACAGTTCTGGGAGCTCTGGGACTCTAGAACTCACAGTACCTTCTTTTGCACGCCTGAAGCATCACACAGATTTGGGGTTTTTGAAGGTGGATTTAATTTTTGGAAACTGTCACAAATAATTCAGGGCCACATCTGGTGAATCAGGCTGGTAACCAAGTTGGGTGATACTCTTTGGGACTTGAAACCAAGAAGCTTAATTGTTAAGTGTGGTGGCTAATGCTCCTCCTGGACTCGCCTGAAGGAACAGAGCTGCTTTGGGGCAGCCGGAGTTTTCCAAGGTGTTGCTATCAACTTTGAAGGGACAGCATTCACCTAGCCCAGTGGTCAGCAAACTCATTAGTCAACAGAGCCAAATATCAACAGTACAGCGATTGAAATTCCTTTTGAGAGCCAAATTTTTTAAACTTAAACTATATAGGTAGGTACATTGTTATTAACTTAATTAGGGTACTCCTAAGGCTTAGGAAGAGCCACACTCAAGGAGCCAAAGAGCCACATGTGGCTCGTGAGCCGCAGTTTGCCGACCACAGACCTAGCTAAATAGGCTGTGAATTACTTGGGGCTTTTTTTTTTTTAAATCAGCTTTATTACTTAAAATATATGTATGTAAGCAGGCCTCCTCTTAAATAACCTTGTGATTTTGTTGGCGTAAAAGCTTATTAACTAGCACCGTTTTTCCTGTGTTTATCATAGGCCATTAATTTATTTCAATAGACCTACCATGGCTCCTGAGTTTTCCTTGGCAGCAGTCCAGTTCCTGAATGTACTGCTGAGCAAGGAGCAAGTAGTTTATCATAACAAGGGGCTGGGATTATTGCTGAGGAAAGCGGAGGGAGGGCCCATCAGCCCTACCCATCCAGGCCAGCGGAGTGGCAGATGGAGGGGAGAATTTGCTTTGGGCTCCTTTTCCACCCAGTACAGTCTTTCAGGTGTGGTCATCCTGTGCATTTCATTTCATTTCATTTCATTTTGACTTCCTGAGCCCTAACCCTGCCCTGGCATTGGGCTTGGCCCTGAGAAATTTTGAAAGGAACATGTGGAGAACGCCGCCTTCGAGTGAAGAAGGCCATTACCATGAAGGAGATACAAATAAAATGGCCTAGGCTTTCTGGAGGGAAAGCTCCGACAGCAGAGGCAGAAAAGGGGACCCCGAAGGAGATGAGATCTGAGAGGCAGCCCGCAGAGGGTGGCGCCGGCAGGGTGGCTGGAGCCCAGGGTGGTGCAGGACCTGTGGCCACCCGCCCTTGCTCCGAGAGCCGAGTTCCCAGCCAAGCCCAACAGCTGGCCCAGCTCAGCGTGTGGGATTTCAGCATTAGGTGAGAAGTTAATCACAAACATGAATCAGCCTTGTTTCTTCCTTCTCAGCCCGGCTCCCGAGCGCTGCAGGGAGTGGGCAGGGCCCCTGGCTGGATGTACAGGAAATCGTACTGGGGAAACATGAAGCCCGCTATTTCTCACCGGGCCCAGCTGTTACCTGCGCTTCAAGAGCACAGGGGACTCTGCTCTACGGGAAGAGAACCCCCGCAGCGCAGCAGGCAGGAAGAAGACCCGACTCCCGGGCCAGCTGGCTTGTGGGGTTCCACCCAGGCTGTGACCACTGGGCAGTTTTTCATTTCAAAGACCCTCACTCGAGCTCCACTGTTCCTCCTGGGTCAAAAACTCTTTTTTGCTCATGTTTCTGTTCTCTCTCCTTTCTCCCAGCCCTCGATGGCCAGCTTGTATAGAAAACAGCACTTCTCATCCAAACCAGCAGGACCGGGTTAGGAGCTGAGGTTCTGCCAAAACCCTTCCCTCCCTAACCCTCTCCTGGAATGTCTGACTCTCAGCTACCCTTATGTTTTCTCACATTCTCCCTACTTCCGCTCTAAGGCGTCCCACTTACCACCTCATATTGCAGGGCGGCTGTCACTCACACAAACTGGTGATGGTGTCAGTCTCCCCTGCTCTGGAACCCCCTCACCCTCTGCTTTTGAGTCTGATAACAGCTGCCCCTCTGTCTGGGTGCTGACCCGGTGGGGCAGCCGGTCAGTGATTGCCATGGGTGGCTCAGAGTCATGCCATCACAAAATATTTTCCTCCCTCTGAATTCTGTTTGCAAAATCCTCAGCTGCCAGCAGTTCCTTACAAAGAAAAGGCCTCGGTGTCCTAGAGAAAAGCAACCCTCATCAGGATCTTAGTAAATCTCAGTAGGCAGCCAGGACTGCGAAATATTTCACTTTCTTTGTTTCTTTCATTAAAAAAAAAAAGTATTAAAGTTACTGCATGCAAGTAATTAATTAGAAAACGTTGACTTCATAGGTCATTGCACAAGCCTACAAATGTTCAAGAAATTCCATTTAGCTCTGGGTTTGAATGTCACATCTATTTATGTAGTCAAAGAAGTCTGGCTCTTTTTTTTCTCCTGCCCCAAGAAAGATGCCTCTGGGAAACAGGCGGTGGGGAGTAGAACCAACAGACTTTCTCACTATTACAACTTCCTTACTATTCTTACTGTTACAACTTAAAGCAAGCCAGTCCGGTGGCTGGAGTTGCAACACAAGTGGACTTTGGCAGTTGGATCCAGAAGGAAGGACTCCCACAGGGAGCGGGATGGTCCCCAGGGCAGTGCCGGGGACAGCACAGGGGAAAGACAGGAAACACATCGAAGGAGCTGTTCCCCTCCCTGAGGAATAGAGCTGCCGCAGGAGAGGGTCAAGATAATGTGTGCCACCAGACACCAACGTGTGTCCTTTCAACCTGGGCAAACACACCAGAGGTTATGCACACACCATACCCTCAAAGTCAAAATCACTTGTTATCCACAAAGCCCTCACTCCCATCTGGGCAAGGCAGAAAGATCACACCCAGACACACACGCACACACTCACCTGAGACATGGATAAACAAGCACGCTGTCCAAAGCCGTCACCTCTATCGGTAACAGACGGCAGGGGTCTTCTCTCGGGCCCCTCCTGGTGTCTTTCAAAGTGAATTGTTTTCTCAGGCCTCTGCTTTGACTTTCAACACAACTGAACACATTAGCAGACCGGCTCAGGCGGCATTTGAAGGGTTGGCATCCTTCAGGCGGGGGGAGGGGTGTGATGCCCAGGAGACCTGGTACAGTGAGGAGGGGAGGGGACTGCAGGCTTGGGGGAAGCTAGGGATGAGCACTAACACCTTTGAACAGCTCTGTGCTCCAACCAGTGTAAGGCCAACCCCAGGAACCAATTTCACAAAAAGTCCCATGGAAGCCGGCACCTCGTGCGGTGGCTACCGCAGCCTCAGACACTATGGAACACGTGGTGATGATGGTGGATCATATCTCATATCTGAGTTATAAGTTTCTAGTGTTACATATAAGAGTTGATTCTTCAAAAACAGCTTGGCCAACTTCTAACCCAATTCTTACTCCTGCCCACCTGACAGCCCCCAGAGAGTCACCTGAATGCAGCCCTTACACTGACCAATCACTGGTGAATTCCAGCCCTCCTGCAACTCCCCTTCCCGGTAAGTGAAGGAGATTTTGGGGGAAATGTATCAGAATTCCCTCTTACTGATTCAAGTGAAAAACTAGTCCTTTCGGTATGAAGGATGAGTTAAAAAAATGCTAATGGCCCTAGCCGGCTTGGATCAGTGGATAGAGCATCAGCCTGTGAACTGAAGGGTCCCAGGTTCGATTCTGGCCAAGGGCACATGCCCGGGTTGCAGGCTCAGTCCCCAGTGGGGGATGTGGAGGAGGCAGCTGATCAATGATTCTCTCTCATCATTGATGTTTCTATCTCTCTCTCTCTCCTTCTCCCTTCCTCTCTGAAATCAATAAAGAAATATATTTTTAAAAATGCTAATGGACATTTACACTGAGTGGCCAGATTATTATGACCACCTGACGGCTGCAGGCAAATTAGCTATAATTTCGCGCTGAAGTTGCTAGAGGGCCAGACCATTATAAATAGGGAAGCAGGTTGTTTACCATGACAGTAGAAGTGATTTTTTTCTGAAGATATGGGTAAACAACGCGATTTAACAGCCTTTGAACGTGGGAGATATATCTATCTATCTATATATATCTATATCTATCTATCTATCTATCTATTCAGAAAATGGAAACATGTACCTTTTATGAAAATTTCAGCCAGCTTTTCAAATACTTCCCACTTAGGCACCCAGGATGTGTTCTAGTTCTTTTGACATAAAACACATTTCAGTGGCCCTCATTTATATATTTATTTTTTTGGTAATCCTCACCTAAGGATATTTTTGCCATTGATTTTTAGAGAGAGTGGAAGGGAGGGGGAGAGACAGAGAGAGATAAACATCGATGTGAGAGAGAAACATCAATTGGTTGCCTCCTGAACATGCCCCCACCTAGGCCAGGGATTGAGCCTGCAACCGAGGTATGTACCCTTCACGGGAATCGAACCCGAGACTCTTCAATCTTCTGGCCAGCGCTCTAACCACTGAGCACACTAGTTAATTTAAAGTAAACTAGATACATCAACCCAGCTGAAGGATCTGTGGCGTATGGAGCCAACATGCCCCGACGACCCGTGTTCAAGGATGGAGTAACAGTGCTGTACAGGTGCCTGCCAGCAGCGCCCATCACCATCCATTCTGCCCATCCCGCAACTGCTCAGGAGCCGGAGGGGAGAGCACTGCACCCGTGAGGGGTCGGGGGCCTCTCCAGAGAAGCCAGAATGCTTCCCCACCAGGGGGTGGTCTGCTGCCAGGAACCAAGGAAGACCTCAGAATTGAATAAAATGTTGCCAGACGTTCAGTACAAAAGCAACCCGCCAATGGCCTACAACCCCCAAGGCCCAGCACTTGTTCCTGTGGGCAAGATGCAGCCTGAACAGCATGGAGCTTCATCCTCATCTAAAATTTATAACACAATCGATCCATTCAGCGTGTGTCCGCGTTGGAAGAGACTTTAAGTGTGTTTAGTGCTGATGAGGCAGAACTAGTTTAGAGGAAGAGCAGCTGAAGGAGAGAAAGAGATGGTCAGGGGAGAGAGACTCCTGAAGAGGCAAGAAGCCGGAATCCAGAGAACAAGCCCAGGATTGGTCATAAATGAAGGGAAGGGCTGCTCCTCTCACCATCTAGGGAGGGGAGAGGAAAGCACAGGCCCAGCCGCAACTGGGTGAGCAGGTTTCGTGGTGGAAGCAAAGGAGGTTGAGCCTGTTCACCATCATATCCTATTCTGCACCTTAGACAAGGGTTGTCTTATATCACCTGAGGATTTTTGCAAGAGTAAAGCATTATGGAATTGGAGCTGGACAAGGGGAAAGGGAATAATGGTCAGAGGTCAGGGTTCTCAAAGCAGCAAGGTTGTACAACAGGAATCCCCTACATGCATATGGCATAGTTTTGTTGTTTTCCTGAAATTTTTGCTTTGGAGTGCTTAGGGTTCATCAGAAAAGCTGGCAGGCCTCTTGGGGATGTCATCTCATAGAGCGCCCAGAGAAAACAGGCCGGCAGGTTCTGGGGACCCAGCCCCCAGCCCAGGAAAGTCTCTAGGGCCCATGGAGGAGCAACCAGCTTCAGCCTGGGCAGGATGCCTGGTGCTCAGTCAGGAAAGATGCCAGGGGGAGCTGCTGCATAGCACATATTGTGAAAAACCCCTTCAATGTGACTATGCGAAGATGCCCTTTCTCCGTCGATGTAAAAGATAGTACACACCCAGTTGATTTCAGATGAGAGTCTCCTGCACTTGGGGTTTGTTTTTACAATGCTCCTGGCACAGAGCAGTCCCACAACAAAGACTCATTGAATGAATAAATAAACAACTGTCTACAGGACAAGAAAGTACCTATAGGGTGTAAATGGGAAAATAGTTAGGAAATGACTGGAAATCCATTGAAGCAAATTATATGTCCTCTCAACCCTTAGGGATTAAGGCGTTAATTTTACATTTGAGTTAAGTCCTACCACCCATCCACTGTTAACGTTTTGTTTATATAGCCTTTCAGATATCTTTTGTGTGCATACATTCCTTTCTTCCTTCTACTTTACAGGAATGGAATCAAGCAGCACATCTTACCCTGTGAGCTGCTTTTTTCTCTCTTAGCAATGCCTGATAGACGTATTTTCCCAATGTCAGTAGTTGCCATTTTAGTCCAATTCTAGGCGGTGATCGTGGATGACATGGGTAGACATAAGATTGCCACGCAAGGGAGTGTGGGATGCTGAGAGAAGGGGAGAGAGACCCTGGGAGACATCTGCACCTAAGGGGCAGGCAGAAGAGAGACCAGGCGAGACTGGAAAGTAAGCCAAACTGGTGAGGGGAAAACATGGAGAAGTCAAAAGACAGAAGAAAGGGAGGAGAAAATGTTAAGGAGGAGGAAGTAGCCAGTGGTTCAAATGCTGCTGAGAGGTTCAGGAAGTCGAGGACTGAGAGCTAGAATTTGGCTCAGCAAGAGGGGAGTTACTCACTTTATACTTTTCACTACCCCCGTTTCCTCATGTTACAAAATGAGAAAAGAGAGCCTTGTTCTGCCTACCAGCTGGTCTGACCATTCCTTGGCCTAAAGTGATAGTGTAAAAAGTTTGTGTTTTGAAAGGGAATTGATTAGAATTGCATTTAGCTGCTTTTAACAGGACCCCAGACACAAAGTCTTGACCAAATGGTTATATTTTGCTCAGCTGAGAAGTTTTGAGGTGGGAAATCAAGGGCTGTGACAGCTGTTTAAGGAAGTCATCAAGGACCCCCACACATTCTTTATGTGAGAAGTTTATCCTCATGGTTGCAAGGTGACTGCTCTGCCTCCAGCCATCATGTTCTCATACCAACGAAGAATAAGACAGAAGAAAGGGCGTGCAGATTCCCATATTATCCGAATCTATCCATTTTCATCAGAAGCCCCACCCTATATGCTTCATTTAAATGTCATTGGCCAGAACTGGGCCACTCCCATGTATAGGAGAGTCTGAGGATACGCGTATTTTCACCTGAGCACATTGCCAGCCATTTCTTCCCACGAGTAAGAGGATGGATATTGGAGAAGCAACCAGCAGTGCCTTCCATGTGAGAAAGGTTAGGCCTGAACACAATAGCTTGCAGCCTTCTTAGATTTATTTTCTTTTTGAAAGACAAAAATATTAAAGCAATCCATTTGATTCTAATTCCAACAGGAAGTAAGTCCTGGGCCCGTTTTCCCCATAAAGTGGGCCAGTTAAAAGGATCAGTGTCAACTAAAGCTCTGTGTTGCAGCTCTCTCGGTTTTACTGACAGGGCCCTCATATTTTTTTAAATTAAATTCCACCTTGCAAAAATAGTTGGAAAAATCAAAGCACAGCAAGTTGCTAGGAGACCTGAGGGGCTTTATTGGGTGAGCATTTTGGGGCCTGCGGGACTGAATTTCTCTCCCCTAACGACAGGCACACAGGAAACCTAATCTGAGGTTGTGTGGAGGTGGGCAGAGCTTCGGCTCAAGCAGAGGGGGACGCCCATCATCACGTTCTGTAGGAGGAGCTGCTGCCAGTTCTCAGAGGCGCAGAGAAAAGCCAATCTGGCCTGACTGGTGTGGCTCGGTGGTTGAGCATCTGTCATGGTTTGGTTTCTAGTCAAAGGCACATCCTTGATGTTTCTATCTCTCTCCCTTTCCCTTCCTCTCTGAAATAATATATATATATATATATATATATATATATATATATATATATATATTAGAGAGAGAGAGAGAGAGAGGAGCCAAACTGGAAGGTTTTACAACCTTTCTGCACTGAGCAGTAACCCTGCTGGAGCAGTTCCATTTTCTCCAAGAATCTGCTGCCCTCGCTCTGTTATGGCTTTCTCTCCGGGGAGCTGGTCTCAGACAGCGTGCTGCTAGGAGAAAGGGTCTGCGAGAGGCAGCCCGCGGTGTCTGAAGTGATCTGAGATGCCTGGATGGGTTTGCTTTTCCTTCAAGCCCTGGCTGTTCCTCTGCCCCGTTCCCATCCACCTGGCAGAATAATCTCTTTGCTGCTAACTGGAGCACATGCCAGATGCAGTTCATCTAAGTGAGCAAGTGCTTTCTGGGATCCGGCTGATGAGAGAAGAGCTGAGTGGAGCCCGGGAGCCTGCCAGCCCCTGGCTGCTGGAAGGAAAGCCGTGTTATTTTAAGAGGACCGTGTGCCAGCCGTGGTCAGGCACCAGGAAGAGGCAGAGCCACTTAGCAGGATCTTCATTCCTGCCTGGCCCCCTCCTGCTGAAGATGAGAGATGGCTCTGGGGAAATTCCACTCTGTAATTCATTTAAGCAGGATAAACAGAGCTCCCGCTCTGGAAGGTTCGGCCCTGAGCGAAAGGCACTTGGAATCTAGGCTGGGAGCTCAGATGTCCATGTGAAACAGAAGAAAATCCCCGAGCCAGGCGACATGAGATGCAGCCACGTTGACCCCCAAAAAGCCGCGGAACCTGAGTAAGTGACTTCACTCTCTTGTCCTGGTTCCTCTGTACGTGACTGCTGTGCTCTGCAGAGCCCTGAGGGCTGCAAAGAGTTTTAGAGTTTCCACAGATATTTGATTTAAATTGCATTAAAACATTTCCCCAACTCTATAAAAAATAGACACAATCAAATATTACGTATGCCGAATTTTAACACACCAGAGACTGCCAGAGTGTTCATTATAATGCCATATAAACACCTCTCTGTGAGTGAACCTCGGATAAAGCATGTCCCCAGGTTGCAAGGAAAGTTATCCTGAAAAAATGCACACTGTTCCCATGTGCAACTGCTTACCAGAATGACGATTTTTTTCTCAATATTTTGCAACCAACCATTTCAGAAATAAATTGGACATAGAGACAGACCTGACTGCTTTTATCCAGTGACTTCAGTTTGGGGGATCAAAATAGCCTTATTATACTCATTGCTTAACCTGCAATTTAACTTCATTTAACTTCAAAATGCATGTTTCACACTGGTAAGATACTGCTTGGCCTCATTTTCTAGGTAGGTGTTCTAATGTGGTTATTTTACTGAACAGTTTGGAAATTGTTAGTGCAGAACCTGCCAAAGAGCTTCAGCTATTGCTTTTGAAGTTTTGGTGACTGAGTGTCCTACTGTGGGTCAGGCAGCCAGCAAGACAGGATTCCACAGGGAACGGGCACCAGTGGGCAGAGGAGTTGGATGGAGATGGACAGTTAATGAAACCTGGCGCCTATCAGAGCCGAGCCTTGGAAGGGGTGGGGGTCAATTCTCGACTGCTGGAGATTCAGGAACCCACATTTAGGCAAAGACAAAGACATGGCATTGCCAGATAACGAGCACCTCAGACTGGTTGCTGCAAAGTGGTTATGGCAGGGGGCCCAGTGGGAGAAAAGAACATAAACTTTGGGACTTTCAAGAGAAATCTCCCAGCCGATAAAGGCTGGTCCGCGATCCTTGCTGATGATTTCAGAAAGCTGTCTGTCTAGGACAGTGATGGCGAACCTCTGACACACGAGCTCATTTTCTTGGTTGATTTTTCTTTGTTAAATGGCACTTAAATATATAAAATAAATATCAAAAATATACATCTTTGTTTTACTATGGTTGCAAATATAAAAAAATTTCTATATGTGACACGGCACCAGAGTTAAGTTAGGGTTTTTCAAAATGCTGACACGCCGAGCTCAAAAGGTTCGCCATCACTGCTCTAGGACCACGGGCAGAGAGCCTTGTCACCTGCTGCCAGGGCGTTTGAGTCCCTTCCACCAGGAACCGGAAGGAGAGGGAATAAGCTCCCATCGCTGCCCCTTCAAACAGCTGTCCATTGAAGCAGTGGTTCTCATACTGTGTAGGCATCACCTGGAGAGCTTTTTAACACAGATTCCTGGGGCCCCGATTCAGTAGGTTTACCGTAAGGCCTGAGAATTTTCATTTTTTGTAAGTTTCCAAGTGAGACTGCTGGTCCCCAAACAACACTGGGAAGCACTGACTTAGATATTGATGGGACACGTCGTACATCCTCAGCACCATGCAGCGGGCACCGAAGACAAGAAGAGAAACTCCTTGATAGAATAAGGGGAAGAGGATGCCTTCACGATCAGTGGATAGAGAAACTTCCGGTTAGGATCCATAGATGGAGGCGAGAAATCCCAGGACACAGAAACAGGGCAGGTCCCAGCCTCTGACCTATATTCTATACAATCATCTACACCAGAGACATAATGAAGATGAAAAGCAAAGCCAGGTCAAGAGCAAGCCCTTGTGCAGTGAGCGTGAAAAGTGAAGGAGAAACAGAAAGTGCTCAGACAGCGTTCCCGAAGTTGGGGCTAACAGGCCGTGGTTATCCTGCAGCGTGATGAGGCACTTTCTTGAAAGTTCCGCTGGGAGGAAGAGTGTTCACGTGATGCCAAATTGCAAACAGAGCTAGAATAATGTATCTATTCACTGGCCTCTGACTCTCCATTTTCTTTACATGTCTCTTCTTCTTCCCACAGTGAACACCTTTCTTTGGCCAAAGATGCCATGATGTCCCCTTGTCCCCATCATTGGATTAGAAAGGTATGCTACAACTCAGCAGGGCCTCATAAACAGCTGCCATACTTTGATGTAGTGGCCACAGAAGTCAGGGTCCACGACTAACCTTTGCAAACATGGTGGTGACTGTAGCTCTATTTTCAAATTTGCTGTTCAGACCCCACACTAAACCTTTTGATGGAGACAAGCGATGTCTCCAGTTTGAGGTGTTGTGTGTTGTGGCTTCATTTGGGAAAATCATATGACTCAGTTATATAAACTTATTTAAATGTTTTTCTTTCATAATTTAGCCACAAGCATTAATTAAAGCACCAAAGAATATGTATAAATCTTCATAACCAGCCAAAGCAAAAGGAAAAGCTATTAAGCATTTGGAACTTTAAAAATGCATTTTTTTTAAATGACTACATTGGAATTGAGCATTTTTCTTTAGCAAAGTTAGATTCCAGAAAGAAAAACAAAAACTAAGACATAAACCAAATTGCTTTTAAGAATTATCCTGTGGCAAGGTTATTTATTTTACTTGGAAGAACCAACCGTGAATGTAATTGTGCTGAGTGATCCACATTTACATGTGGTAGAGATAGTAGTGTTCAATGTTAAAAAGATATTACAGAAGCTTATTTTAAAGTCAGTGTTAAGAACTAAGAATATATTTTTCTCAGAGAAAAAATTGTTATTCACGGTGGAAAGTGTGCCAGGATGGGTGACACCAGGCTGCACAGCATCCGATGAGGTTGAATGTGGGGTAAAGGATGCTGGACTGGGTGGTGGCACCTGACCTTATGCACAGGGACTATGGGGAAAGGGGGGCTGGACAGAGGAAGGAAACCCTCCCCACCTTCCTTCTTGGCTGCCTGAGTGTTGTAAATGAGCTGTTTTATTTTTTCAAATGAATGTTTTTATTGAGCATTTTATGTGCCAGACATTATGCTGGGCCAAAGGATATAATGAACAAGACTGAAAGATCCCTGCCCTCAGGGAGTAAATATTAGAGTGGGAAGGATAGATGATTTAACAAAAAATTACAAGTGAGAGCTTCCAAAAATCTTAGGAGTACCTAACTCAGACATGAGTGTTCAAGGAAGGCTTCCCAGAAGGAGTGACATCTAACCTGAGACCTAGAGATTGAATAACAGCTCAGTGAAGGTGTCAGAGGGTGGAGGGGAAGAGGAACACTCTCCAAGCAGAGGACTCTACATGGACAAAGTCCCCAGGACACAAGACATCGGGTTGGCGGAGGCGGGGAGGGAGGAGAGGAGAATGTGCTGGGTTCCATTTTGGAGGTGTTGATTGATGTGCTTGTGAGATATAATTTGTCCTGTAGACAGTTGGATGTGGGGCATGCAGCTCAGGAGGGTGGTCTGAATATGGGAGTCATCTGCATGTGGATAGTGAGAGGGGACCAAGTCACCCAGGGAGACTAGGACGAAAGAAGCCACGGAAAAGAGTTGAGAAGCAGAGAGAGGTCACCAGAGTCATGGGCTTTGGGGAGGTCACACAAGGCAAGAACTGAAGTTTCCATTGCATTTTGCCAGAACGTCACTGGTAATTTGGGCAAGATCAGTTTCATAGAAAGGAGGTGAGCAAAAGACAAAGGAAGGGTTGAGAAGGGAGTGGAAGGTGAGGACATGGGAGGTAAGGAGTGCAGGCAGCTCTTCCTGGAAGTCTAGGTTGAGAAAGGGCAAAGCTGGAGTGGGGTGTGGTTTAGGGAGAGTGTTTTATGTTTGTTTAGATGACAAAACCGATTAAAGGATCCAGCGAGAGAGGCTGAAGATGCTGGAGAGAGAGGGAAGAAGCTAAAGTGAGGTTGCTGGGAAGTGGTGGTGCCACCTGCTGCTTTAATCTTCAAGCTGCATCCTTCTATCCCACCTTGCCCCTTAGCTCCCTTTATAGGTCATCAAAATGTCCATTTCTCATGCTAGCTGACTAGGTATTAGAAGGGAAGCCATCTGAGCAGTGGGTTTATGCTCAGGTCCGAAGGACTGATGGCTCATAACTCTGTTTGAGGCATTTGCATTTCTGTGGAAAGGATCTTATTCACCTAAAACCTCTAATGCAAGGATTTTCAAGGAGAGGAACAAATGGGAGTGAACAGCCCTAACCGGTTTGGCTCAGTGTCGGCCTGCGGACTGAAGGGTCCCGGGTTCGATTCCGGGCAAGGGCATGTACCTTGGTTGCGGGCACATCCCCAGTGGGGGGTGTGCAGGAGGCAGTTGATCGATGTTTCTCTCTCATTGATGTTTCTGATTCTCTATCCCTCTCCCTTCCTCCCTGTAAAAATCAATAAAATATATTTTAAAAACCTCAAAACAAACAAACAAACAAACAAACAAACAAAAAACAAATGGGAGTGAACAGTTTTAAGCTGTGGGCTGGAATAACTATCTGGGGTCTGCCTTCAAGGGTACCCTTTATCCACAAAGTGATCCAAAGGACAAATGCCAAGGAAGCAGAAAGGTCTGCAGAGGAGACACTGTGCAGCCAACTTCTGCACAACGGTGTGGGTGAACCACATGCCCCGAGCAAATTCCTGCAGGCTCTCCCAGCTCCAGCTCTCCCTGGCACTGGAATGGCCCAGAACGGAGAGACCATGGCTCCTGAAACAACCTCTGTGGTTAAAGTCGACAGCTAGGGTGCGCCTGACCTCTACATGGCGCCCCAGCTTCCACTGTGTTAGGCTCACACTAGGTCGCACACATAAGGTGTAAAGCAAACCTCACTGACAACTGGAATTGACCTTGCAAACAGTGTTCACTGCTGGTAATGGTAACAATGTACAGTAGGTCAGCACTGGAGAACACTTTATGTTGTCATCTGTTACTGCAGCCTGGGCATTGGGACTGTTAAAATACGTTTAGGCTGGGAAAGTCTTTACGCCTATCTGTGCGCAGGTACAAAATGTGTGGGAGAGTGCGTGCTCCCTGGTCCCCTGGGCCGGGCTGCACTAGCACACACAGAAACTCCACCTTTAACAACCCTGAAGTCTATGGGCTCATGCGGTCAGACTCAGAGTTAAAGATCATTGCATTTTGAATCAGAAAATTTTTTTTAATTGTATTGCTTGTTTTTATGCTAAAGAAAAACAGACTCATTGTAGACAGTTAGACAACACAAAAGGCCCAAAAACAAAACCAAATTTATTTATAATCTCAATTTCCAGGGATAATCATGAGTCTATTTTGATCCATTTTATTTTAGTTTTTGACTTCTGTCTCTCTCTGTCTCTGTCTCTCCTCCCCTTAGGGATTATGTCACTACATAATTGTGTATCCTGCCTTTTTCATTAACTAAATCAGGAAATGTCAAAGCAGTACCAGACCCATTTAATTTCCACATTTTCTTCTCTATTTCTGTTTGCATCTTTCCCTCTTTCTTTGCCAATATTTCTTTATTTTGGAGTATTTCCATTTTTATCAAAGTTCAATTCAAGATGTAAAATAGTTTATGCTTTTTGAGCTTTATTTCCTTCCTACACTTGTTAAAAGAGGCCAGTAAAAAGAAAAGTTTTCCAGCTTATGATAGATCCACCTCCAACTATGTAACTGGTTCAGTTTAGTCTTGGGATAATGATCTGCCACCATATGTGGGTTATAACTTGAGGTTTGCATAAAAATGTGTCTTGGATTAACTGACTATGCCACAGTACCGGGTAGCTGGTTTGTTTCTAGGACGTTAGATGCCTGGCTTTTTCTTGGTGCAGTCAGTAGTGCTTTCTGATGAAGGCAAATAAAACAAACAATTAGGGATGTGACTTCCGGTGTGGCCTCCTCCCGAAAGAGGTGTGCTCTGTGTTCAAGATTTCCTACAAGCAGGGCTTGATGCCTTGGGAAGCAATTATCTTATTTAAGCCTACACTTGTCTGGGGAGCTGAGGTCAGCCACAAAGCCATTGGAAAAAAAGAGCTGTCTGCCAGTTTTTTTGGGGGGCGGGGGGTAAGTTTGAATAACTTTGCTTTTGAATTGAGTGACCTCTGGAGACCAGAGACTGTAGATTAAACACAGAGGGACTTGGCTGTCCTTCTCCCTTCAAATAACTCCCATTTCAAAACAAAAACAAAAACAGAAATACTTTAGACTTCACTTTCCAAAGCCAGTGCCTGCTCCCCGCCCCCCGCCTTCCCCAAGCTGTCTGTTACTGCTTCTGCTTGGATTATTTTCATTTGGGTTGTGTTTTCCTGACCGAAGGCCAGACCCTTGTCTTTGTGTATTTGTAAAGTGCCATGTCTACTTACTAGTCTTTAGAAATTACAGACAAAAACAGGAATGCGAGAGAGGCTGGCAGCTAAACCCTTGCAGCTTTTCTGAACTGAAGCTCGGCCCGCGAACCAGAGTGGGATATTTTTATAAGGCAGTATTGAAGCGTTCTAATCCCAAGGCACTGCATGAAGTCTACATTAGCTGAATATAGAACAGTGGCCCGAGTTGGCACGGTGTCTGCCACTCGCACGGCTGCCGTGCTGCCCGGTTAACGAGCTATTGCTTCCTGGTCAGTGTAAAAGGCGCAGCTTCTGCGCAGTGAGCGAGCCTCCCACAGTCTCCTGACAGCGATGTTTGAGTTCAGACTGCGAGCCGCCCCCTCTCCTTTTCCGTGCCAACCTCCTGCAGATCCCGAAGTTCCTTAGGCTGCTGGTTTTCATCTGACGACGTGTATCTGGCTGTGCTCAACTTGAAGAATTCAGGAACCACAGGAAAGAGAGCCCATCTGGAGAGGCAGAAAGGTGAATGTTTGGATTCAGCTGAGAGGAGCTCTGAGGCCAAGTCAGCAAAAGAGGAAGCAACATGGAGGCAAAATGGACAAAGCAGAAATTCTCCCCTCCTTCCTTCCCTCCCTCCTCCTCTTCCCATCCTTGGGATTGGGTATAAAAGACGGGTCTATAAAATCTTCCTGTCTTAGAAATTTATTTCCTTGTTTTATAGAAATGGGCGTATTAGATGTTCTCTATCATTTAATAATATACTCATGGACTAAAAGATGTGTGTATAAAACCAGCCACTAATGCTAGAGTGGCACTTCTGCCTTTATTCCTGTCATTAGCCTGAATAGAAAGGCCTTTAAAATGGAATTTTTAGCCCTGACTGGTTTGGCACAGTGGATAGAGCGACAGCCTGCGGACTGAAGATCCTGGGTTTGATTCCGGTCAAGGGCATGTACCTTGGTTGCGGGCACATCCCTAGTAGGAGGTGTTCAGGAGGCAGCTGATCAATGTTTCTCTCTCATCGATGTTTCTAACTCTCTATCCCTCTCCCTTCCTCTCTGTAAAAAATCAATAAAATATATTTTTTAAAAATAGAATGTTTAGAAATCATTGGAATGCATTTGTTTGGTGTTGGGTGTATTCAATGAAGTATTCAATGAATACAAGAAAAGTCTTTCTTCCGCCACCTCTTTTCCTTCTTTCTTTCCCTCTCTCCCCTCCTTCCTTTCTACTGTCTTTTGTAGCAAATTGTCTCCTCCTCATTGACTACAGACATCTCTTCAAAAAGACAGAAATAACTCTAAATGACACTTGAGACCTTAACGTCCGGAACTCTCTTGCTCAACCACGTCTAGGAAGTAATTGCTATCCGAGCTATGGACTGGACAACAGAACAGACTTTGGAAGGGCTCATAGCTAAATGTCTTCTCTTCCTGAACAGTGACAGCCTTAGAGCCCACGGGGAGGCAAGCAGCCGGACAGAGCTCCTTGCAGCCAAACTGCCCTAAAGTGAGCAGGCAGCCCCCGGGCAGCTATGTCACCAGGTGCTATACCAGTGAAGGCGCCTCTTCCAGCTGGAGACATAAGTATTGAATGGACAACCCAGGCGGCAGCAGAGGTCATTGCAACAGCACCCAAAGGAGCCATCCCACATGGAGCACTGCCCTCCTTCTCTTTAAAGCAGCCCTGTTAGAATAGAAACTTCTAAATTCTTTATTTTAACCCTGGCCAGTGTGGTTCAGCTGTCAGAGCCTTGGCCCTCACACCAAAGGGTTGCAGGTTCAATTCCTGGTCAAGGGCACTTACCTGGGTTTCAGGTTAGATCGAAGACCCCAGTCGGGGGTCATGCAGGAGGCAACCAATCCATGGGTCTCTCTCACATCGATGTTTCTCTCCCCCCCCACCCCCCATCTTCTGCTCTCTCTAAAAAGCAATGGAAAAATATCCTTGGATGAGGATTTAAAAAAAATTAAGTTCTATCTTTTACTTTTGGGATTAATAACCGAAATATTTAACAACATGCAAACCTCCCAAAAATAAGGTTTGGAAACTTACAGTTAAGCTTTCATCACAGATTTTGTCCCAAATGTACATTGCCAAAAAAAAAAAGCAGTTAAAATATATGTTTTAGAACAATTGCGACTATTATAAGAGAATTTTTTATGAGAAACATTGTTCGATGTAGTCTCATTTCATTTCTAAAAATAGACAAAAAATGAAATGATTCACAGATGTTGATTTATGAGGAAAATAGTGAACTATATAAACTGAAACGTATTTGAAGGAAGGGTAGAGGCCCTCACCAGAAACCGCTCCATAAGAAGCACCTCCTTCTCCCTGACTTCCCAGGAAATTCCAAGTCCTGGCTGCACTCGGACCTGGGCCGCTGCGCACCAGGACAGCGACTGATGGCCTGGTGGCCAGAGTAACGCTCCCGACAGAAATCAGCCGGGGGTGGGGGCAGATTCTCTAAGGTGGCAATTCTCAATAGTTGGTTCGCAACAGAATCACCTGGAATTCTGGGTTCCCAGGCCCCACGCTGGCTGCTCAGATTTAATATATCTAGAATGGAGCCCAGAAATGTTCATGTTAAACATGCATTACAGGCCATTTGGGAACGTGAACCACACTTTGAAAACAACGCCTCTGAGGGACCCCACTGAGCCATCTTCCTGCTGTCACAATCCTGCCTGCAGGGGCCAATTGGGGTTCATCTGGTCCATGCAGTGGTTTTTATTCATACCTGAAGGAGTCTTTCATGTCCGTGTTTTGGGGAGCACAAAAAAAGTAGTTAGAAATGACCAAACCCACATTATGGATTGAGACCATACACTGTTTACCTATACAATTAACTTAAGTATAATTATATAGGTCGGACCGCCATTAATAGTGTAGTTCTGGAAATACACCTAATCCCCACTCTACCTTATGATTGTCAAATGATGATTCACTGCCCCTCCTGACAGGCCTGCCCTGGTGGTTGTCCCTGGGAGACTGAACTTCCGGCCCTTGCAGGCAGTCTTGGCCACGTGACTTTTGACCAATGAAATGTGGTGGGAAGTTGGTGGTGCCACAGTGAGCAGAAGCTTTAAAAGCCAGGATGTGGTTCTGCAATTCTCTCTTCCCTCTAGTAGTTTGGACCCGTGTGGGGTAGACAGGCCTGACAGCCACAGACAACCTCACCAGACAGGCTCCAGGGAGAGAGCTGAACCCTGCTGTGGAAGCCCTGGACGGATGCTTACTGTGCAGAACCTAGCAAAGCCTGCCGCTAGTGGGGCTCCCCATTAGTACTGGTGATAGTCTAAGCTGGGGGCTAAGGGAAACGTCTTGCTCCTTATTCTGTCTGAAATGTTCTTTTGTCATCTGAATTCTTTGTGTTCCACACCAGTGTGTGCTTCCTCTTAGTGGCATATTTAATAGTAACTGCAGAAAACTATGCATTGTCTTGTAAAGGCTCAAAGTTCAGAGTTGAAATAACCAAAACTTCATCAGTTACCCCTCTATAATTTAATTATCAGCTACACAGAACTTAGGAAATTCTCTCCACTCTGATAAAGTCTGCAGAGTGGCTGGCCACCCATTACCAAGTAGCAGGACCCTAATCTGTATGTGTAGTATTGTAGCTTCTTGTCCTGCTTTCCGTCCCAAGCGGATCTTAGTGTCTCCATGGAGCTATGGCGCTGAAAAATGGTGTTTATTTGCCTCTACTTTGTGATGAGAGAAAAAAAAATGTTTCCACTTGAAACCAAGCTTTCAGAATGCCAATATGGGCTCTGTAATATTTCCTATATGACATTATCAAATATCTCTGTGGGAACTTGGGTTTAATTGTTTAACCATCTCATGCTCCCAACTGTGTTAAGCCAGTGTCCTTATGTCACTGGTCACTGTCAGAACACACCCGTGAGGTTGGACAGGGGCAGAGAAAGGAGCAGGTCGTCCCTAGCCCACTGAGAATTCCCCAGAACTCACAACCCATTCAGCTCCAGAGCCTGTGGTAATGAATGGCCCACTTTTCTGTTAAGCACACCCAGACTTTTGCCTTGTCAACTTCCAAGTTTTCTATATTGCCTGTGCTAACACCCTGGAACTAGTTGAAGCACAGACAAAGGAATTTATTCAAAGACAGTAGTTTGCAGCTTGGAAAGGCCTGAGAGCAGGAAGTAGAGATTCCCTGGGAGGCAGCCCAAGTCCTCGCTTTCCAAATCTCTCCAAGTCTCCGTCTTCACTGCCCTGGTTCCTCAGTCTCCCTGATGGAGTGAGGCTGCCCACAGCTCCGGAGCCCACAAGGTCCAGCTCCAGCCTCAAGCACAGGAGGATTCCCTCCATTAGTCTCCACCCCAGGATCATCAGTTCAGCAAATATTTACTGAACACTTCCTATGTCCCAGGCACTGTGGTAGGTGCTTGGGGGGTACATGAGGAAATAAAGAAGATCCCTGTGGAGTGGGAAATGAGAGTCAGAATTATGTCCCATAAACATGCTTGCCAGGAGCCCAACCCTATAAATCTCACCAAGGGCCTCAGTAAAAGGGCCTTTGTTAGCTGGGCAGATACCCCAGAAGGTGGTGCTCACACAGCTGAAAAGAAAAGGCCAAGTGGAAAAACTGTACCTTTTTAGTTCACACACATGGACATGATCTCATCCAGCATTTTTTCATTTACGTTTCATCAGAGCATTACAAGCCTCGTGTTATCATTCCTCATTAATTCTCTTTACTCGGAACCAGTTTGGTGACTCATCCTATTAACTTCATTTCACAGAAAAACAAAAAGCCAAAAAAACACACACAACAAAAACCCAAACAAACAAACCAAATAAAATAAAATAACAACTGGGGCAATAAAAGAAAGGAGTTAGATGAAGTCAGTGTTGCTTGGCCACCATTCCTAAGAATTCTTTAGAAACTAATGATTCTCAAAATATGGTTATATGACCACGAGAGTTCACTTCTGGAGGGAATTAGTAGTTTCCTCACAGCATTTCTCAAAGCTATCTTATCCAAAGCTAATGTATTCTTGTGACACGTTCTGTTCAACACCAGGAGGAGAGGTGGAAGTGGATGGCGCTTGGCCACCATTCCAAACCTTTCTCCAGGCACACAGTAGGACTCTGGTCAGAGATTTAGAGATTGTGGTACGAAGGGCTATTTTATAAGTGAAAATATGCATTTGGTTAGGGCATTGATATCGTGAGAACAACCAGACACAGAACCTGCTCCAGCGCTGCTGGGGAGACGGCACAGCCAAGAGGCAGACTCGAACCAGGAGTGAGAATAGACATTAAGTGTGTACCTGACCATGCATAGAAGTTCAATAACGAGTAAGGATTGAGGGCCCCCTGCACCTATAGACAAACATTAACTCAACAACACCCAGAATGCCTCTAAGCTTTAGAAGAGCATAAATGAATTCACACAGACTATTTGAGGGGCTGAGAGTTATTTCCGGCTCATGTTGTGAGGCAGGGAGTGTGAGGAATGAGGCTGACAGAGGTGGACAGTGTCCATCTATGAGACTTAACTTTGTTCTGTAGGTTTTGGGAGCCACTCGATGGCCTGATTTGGATTGTGGCTGTTGCTGGGAGACAATCCCGGTGAGTTTCACTTTTCTATATGGTTGTGAATGAGGTACGGACTGCCCCTCATTCTGGATTATTCTTTCAAGGATGTTTGTATAGCAGGCAGCTTTGCTTGCAGTGCATTATAAAAGATTCAGGTTCCGCATTCCTCCTGACTTCTCTTCTTCCACGCATCTCTACTGTTGAATTTCCTGGATTTCAGTACTTGGCTCCACATATTTCTTATAAAACTACATTCTATGACCGGGAAATCTCAGTCATACTCATAGTCTCAAAATGCACCTAAACATCTCTGACTCTCAAACATCTGTCTTTAGTCCAGGCAACAATGCTGAGTCCCAGAC